CATGAGCTGATTCAATTGAACTGCATCAGCTTTCCTACTTTCTCCGTCGGCCTTGTCTCCACGAGGCGTTTCACGAGATTTGTCTCAGGGAAAAATCCCACTTACGAAGTCGGGAAAAATATTGAGTTAATCAATATTTTTCCCAGTACCAAGTATGGTACTTGTACCCCTAGGATCCACTGAGAGAAAAAGAAGAAGTGAAAACGAATCGTGCGATATTTTATTCATTACTACATTTTTAATGTTTGTTTAGTTAAAATAATGTGTCTAATTGTCAATTGAGTGCAATTATTATTTTAATCCCGGTTAAATACTCGACTTTAACTAATTTACCTTCCCGCGCAAACTAGTCGCAGGACTGTATGAGCCCCGTCCCGTGGAGACGGTAACTGGGAAAAATCCCAGAAGTTTCGTTCCTGCAATTCGAATTTGGGACAAATCCCATGAAAACGTCCCGTGGAGACAAGGCCGTCGACGTGCCCGTTTCATTCAAATTTTAAGGATCATAACATTGTTTATTCCCTTTTTTTGTTTCAGGTGAGGGCTTGATCTTGAAAACTTGAATGTTTACCTGAATGTACTTGAATGGTGCCTACCTGAATGTAAGGTTTACTTTAATCACGTGTTCCATGGATACTGTTACACTACTACATCACAGAGTGCGAGAAATATATTTGATCTTATCTATGGCATTTAGAGAGATTATTTTCTCTCTATTATTCAGATCCAATTCGATCAAACAGAGAATCTTCATAGCGACATCACGACTAACAAAGTCTAAACCATCCAGCAACTTTCCCTAAAGTAAGTAGACCAGCAATTCCAATGTAGGGATGAATTGCATTTTGCAAAGAGGAACCAGGAGCGTTCTGATGTCGCTAAGATGGTGCACCTTCTTTTACTTTGCAAGTATAAACTGATCATCTAAACAAGTTTTATCCATACTCCCAATGAACTGTAAACACAAGACAATAATTACCCTCGTAAATTTAATTTTTGACATGATTTCAGTAATTTTTTTGTAAAAAAAATGTAAAATTTTGTAATGCAAGTTGCACAATCCTAGCAACACTTGAATGCTCTTGGTTTCCTCGTGCGAAATGCAATCCAAATATGATGAGCCGTCCCTAATAAATCTCTCGATTCAGCTAGAGATTAACGAAAGGTGATCATGATCATAGCCTCTAAAAGATACAGCCTGTGTAGCAGCGCAACGTAGTGGTGGGTCTCGTCCGTAGATCTTTTTGAATCATCTTAATTTGCTCGTTTAAGGTGATTCGATGGACGCCATATTTTGTGTCAGAATGTTATGCGATATATCGCATCCACTGGTTCCATTTTTTCAGCTACTCGTCATTTTTCTCCAATTGTGAAATCGCAATTCTGTTGTCAGGAGACTAAATAACTCACTTACCAATTTTAACAAAGAAATTCAATGTAATAAAGGCGCGGTTTTTTTAAAAGAGAAAATATCGCATTCGAGTGCAGTTTCGATACCAGTATCGAATGCGATGTTTTCTCTCTAAAAAAACTACGCCTTCATTACGTTGAATTTCTTTGTTAAAATTGGTAAGTGAGTGATTTAGTCTCCTAACAACAGAATTGCGATCTCAAAATTGGAGAAAAATAACGAGTAGCTGAAAAAATGGAACCAATTGATTCGATATATCGCATGCCGCTCTGACACAAAATATGGCGTCCATCGAATCACCTTTAACGGTGTATTTGCGGCAACTTAAGGTTAATCGGGCGTCAGGACGTCGCGCGTCGCGTCGAGTCGCCACGAGTATCGAAGAATCAAGAGTGCCTTCAATTGTTGCTGTATGCAATACGCGCATCCACAGAACACGAATAGTTGCATCGCGCCTTCACAGTGAACTCACTGTTTGCTCTTTTTGGAGATCTAGCTAGAAACGGTTAGGAGCCTCTTTGTACTGAGAGTCGGGTCGTGTGAAAATCAAGGAACTTTGCCTTTTTACACTCAAGGGACAATTTTATTTTATTTTGAATCACCGTAACGATTTCCAAGCACTGAACACGAGATTATTGATAATTTCATGGGAAACTGATAATTTTTTACAATGCCGATTTCCTCTTCCACAGCTTTAGTATCTCATCTTCATTTTTTTCCCCCTTTGTCTAATACACACTCACAAGAAGCACAAAGGCCTATATTCCCCCAAAAATTGGTATTAACTCGGGTCAAAAAGCAGTACTATAGAATTAAGAGGAAGCACTACGTAGTATTTTTCACACAAAAAGGACGTAAAAAATCGAATTGACTTACCCATTTTCTTTTTTACTTCATTATTAGCGAAGTTCTCACGCGGAATATTCTGGTGATTAATCGCGAGGTTCTCTCTACACACAACTTTCTAATTCATAAAAATTATCAATTTTCATTTTTTTCACGAGCTATTTTACGAATTGAGGCTATTCTCTCTAGAAACACAGCAGCAGACGGAGAAAGAAGAATCGTTCCAGTCCAGGTCTCACCTACCCTCCTCCTTCTCTAGTCCTCGTTACCATTTATACCTTCGTGGTAACACTTCTTGCGATCTCTATAACAATGCTAAATTTCCATTAAGACCAAAAAACAGTTTTATCAATAAGTTACATTGTGACTACAACTTGAAATATAGGTGGGACCTGAAACGATTATTCTTTCTCCGTGTGCTGCTGTGTTTTTAGAGAGGGCAGCTTCAAATCGCAAAATAGCTCATGAAAAAAATGAAAATTGATAAATTTTAAGAATTTGAAAGTTGTGCGTAGAGAAGCCTCGTAATTAATCACGAGAATATTCCGCGTGAAAAGTTGAGGTGAGAAGTGAGCGTGAAATAAAGAGGTAAAAAAGAGATTATAGGCAATGCAAAAGCAACGATTACTTCATACCGTGGAACCAACCGGATATAAACGCACCAAGAAGAAAGTGAAGTTAGTTCAACATTCTGAATGTAAAAAAAGTGTGCGAGAACCTATAAAATGCTAACTTACCCGCCCCAGCAGTTAGTTTTACATCTTGGCATTGCTAAAGTAACTGCTGTGGCGGGTATTTCAGAATTTTATAGATTTTCGCACACTTGTTTTACATCCTGATTGTTAAAACAAATTTGTAAAAAATTACGGCCCAATCCAAAAAATCTCACTACCAAGCCCCCCCCCCCCCAAAAAAAAAATGGATTCATCATTGAAAAGTAAGTGGTAAATCAAAGCGGCTCAATTTTCTCCTTAATGCCCATGCAACATACTATACACCCCAAAGTTTTTCACACAAAACAATTCAATACCTATACAAGGTATGATGGCGTGGAACACGTTTTGATCCATCGCTTTAAAAGAGTATGATATCAAAACGGCCTAACTTCTTTGAAATATGCCCATCTCTGAGCAATAACTCTTCTGAGACCTTCCGACTCATCGCTGAAGAGAGTTAGTGAGACACTTATCATTACGTGACCCTTAGTATATCTTCTCGTTTAGATATCAAAGAGGTCCTTATGAAAACTATAATGCATTTTTTTCTTTAAAGGATTTTAAGGTATATTGCATAGACATCAAGGAGAAAATTGGGCAGTATTTTGATATCACTTTATTTTTAAGTGATGAATCCAAACGGCACTACCATCATATGGACGTATTTCTATCAATAGAGTAAGATATGGAAGTGCATATTCGGAATTTAAAACTATATTGGCCGGAGTTCCCCAGGGGAGTGTTTTGGGGCCAATTTTATACCTTTTGTTCACTAGAGACGTGCCTGAAAGTGGTAAACTTCTAGGAACATTCGCCGATGATATTGCAGCTTTGGAGACGGGTCGGGATCTTCCTGAGGCCACTGTCAAGTTACAAAATACTGTTGATGAGGTTGTGAGCTGGACTAAGGACTGGAGAGTGGCTCTCTCCAACCCAAAATCCGTTCACACTGTGTTCACTAACAAAAAAGTTAACTATATTCCTATACTAATTGAAAATAAACCTGTACCATACTCGGATTCAGCAAAATACCTCGGAGTCACGATTGACAGAAAATTGATTTGGAAACATCATATCAAAAACAAAAGAGAACAACTTAATGCAAAATACAGACAAATGTATTGGCTCTTGGGAAGAAACTCGGCCCTCTCCATAGCCAATAAAGTTCTCTTATACAAACAAGTCCTTAGGCCTGTCTGGACATACGCCTGTGAACTATGGGGCTGCACTAAACCGAGCAACAGATACTTGATTGAGTCCTTCCAGGCGAAGGTGCTACGGTCAATGGTGGATGCCCCATGGTTCACAACTAACGAATCAATTAGGGAGGAGCTCGGAATAGAGTCTGTCTCTGATTATATTAAAACAGCTTCCTACAAGTACTATAATAAACTTGAAATTCACTCAAATCCCCTAGCCAGGGACCTCACCATAGACGACCCGGTAAGGAGGCTAAAGAGGATCAAGCCTCGCGACTTGGCCTTTGGCGTCTAACTTA